CTAAGATATTGAACTTTAGATTTAGCATTGGTATCAGATAGATAGATCCAAGCTTCATCAGTTGTAATGAACTTTCGCCATCTGTCCTTACAGAGAAGCTTGTAGAGAGGCCATAAGCGTTGCCTCCTAATCTGCACCGATCTCTCACTTAAATGATGACATTTAGGTTTTTTATGGCATTTTTTCTTCGACTTTTGTTTTAGTTGATAGCTTACAACTTGCTGACTCACGTTAAGAGCTTTAGCCATGCTTGTCTGTATTGGTGGATCCGGTTTTGATGTCATCTTATCAAGCTTCTGCAAATCTGATTTCTTCAATTTGTTTGGCTGTCCACTTCTTTTTGGTTTTGCATTATTTTGCATCGATCCGAGTTCTGAATTCTTGATGCGACAGATATGGCTGAGTGAAATCACAATACCTTTCCTTTTAAAATGGGTTTGTATAATCCTGTGGCTCCATCGAAGTTCTGAAAATGCTTGCACTAGACCAATCAGCTTTTTGTCAAATTTCTTCAAAGGCATTTTTATGATTTTATGAAATAGTATTGCAATTGAAAGTCTAATAACCGAGCTTTAGATCAGTGTGCTATACATGTAAAAAGGTTTTAAAACTTTAGTGGTAGATGACTACAAAAGTGATCCCTATACTTTTTTGTTACCCTGTATTTGGATGCTAAAGTGCACTAGGAATTTAATTTTGCCGGAAATGCCAAGAGCCAATAAGGCACTCCAGGGATCTTTTACATGCCGCATAATCATACGACATGGCCGATGAAGATTTTCTGAGGGACAATAATATTGGTGACGGAAAATTTGGAAGTAGCAGTGAAATTTAAACCTAAATTAAGGACTTCCTTGTGATGAGATTAATAGAAGAGAAACTAACGTAAGAATGTTGGGTTAATGGTTTGATACAAGGTGAGATTGTTTAGTAAGCGAAATCAGATTATTCAATTTTTTACTAAGATTATCTATATAACAGAAATAGGAAAGTCTCAATATGTTTCAGCCAGTTAATAAAGAAGTTCATAAAATCCAAAACTAAATTTATTTGACTCATTTAAAAATTTAATTAAATAAACATATAAATAGATTCTATGCATCATTCCTAATAGTTTCCTAGTTCCAAAATATTCCCTAAAGAATCTTTTAGTAATAAAACGTTTATAAATTTGCGAGTTTGCCTATGTATTGATATCCAGCTCTTTTCTTACTATTAAGTTTTCTTTGCACAGTTTTAATACTTGGTTTAAATTTCTTTCGAACACTCTATTTCTTTATCTGTTATGTATTAATATTTCAATCAAATACAGTCGAACTTCTATTTAACGAACTTCCATTTTGCGAGCTTCTCTATTTTGCGATTTTTTTCGAAGAAATAAAAACATTTTGGAAATTTTTTCGTAAAATAACTTCCAAATTGCGAAGTGAATTTTCTATTTAACGAACTTTTCTTTGAAATCCACTTTTCCTATTTCCCGAAATATTTCAAACTTAATAACGCATTTTATGGGGGAATTGACCCTGAATATACTTTCGCCACCGCTTTTAGAAAAAACAGCCAAATCCCTTTCCCGTTTTGTTTGCATTTCAAACGAAAACTCAGACAAAATTAACGGATTTTATCAGTAGCCATTAAACTTAAGAACGCATGTGGTAATTTATGTTTAAAATTACTTTTACGATAAATGCAGCTGTAATTTCATAAATTAAGCTACTTTTAGTTGAAAATGTATGTAGCATGTATTGGATAATACTTTGCTCTATTCCTGCTTTCCATGCAGATTTATTTTATGGTTAAGATTCATAAAAATAAATAGTAGATACTAGTTTACAAAATACAGGTGTATCAATCGCTATTTTAATTATGTCTAGCGTTTATGAATTTAAAACCTGTTATGTGTTGTTTAAGTATTTCAAAAGGTGATTTTTCTATTTAACGAATTTTTATATAACGAACTTTTTATCGGGATTTAGCGACTTCGTTAAATAGAGGCCAGACTGTATTTTTTTAATCGTATCTAAAGAAAAAGACATACAAATATTAAATTTGAACATTTACTTAGTTATAATATTGGCATTTTCGAGGAATCAAAGAAAATTTAAATCGAATATAATTTTTCGGGAAAGTCCGATATAGGAGTCGTGATCAAAGATTTTAACTACAGAGATCATAGCTTTAATTCTATTGGTCACTATCCGATCTGTGGTCCTATCAGTCACGGAGAATCTCGATACCTTTTTCAATTGCGTACAAAATTATTACTTTTCTTCAATGAAATTTACTAATAAACGGAGTTTTATCTTGAAATAAATGTGCTGTGGTATTGAACTGTCGTTAAATTCGACAAAATATAGGCTAAAAATGTCATTTAAGAAAGACTTGTAGCCCCACTCGTTATAACTTGAAACCAAATTTACAGAATGTTCACATACAAAATGCTCTTAAAGTTACATATAACAGTAGACCGTGTAAAAGTTGTGACAAATTTCTTGTAGAGTTAGGGCACATCATCAGGATTAAAATCGCACAAAAAATCATGCCTGGAAATGTCTTCATACGCGGCTAGGGGTGCTTACCCTATTATGATCTGTTCAGAAGCACGTAAGGAAACAGTTCTTAATATGAAAGCGCCTCTAGTGGCGTATGATGACATTCCCTGGCATGGGTTTATGTGCAGTTTTAATTCTGATGATGCTCCCTTACTTCTCCATAAAAGGTTGTAGCAACATTTATACGACTCCCTGTCATATATTTTTCGAACTTGTTCATTTCAACAAGAAACAGACTAAAAAGGTCATTTAAAAAAATCTGTCGCTTGAAGAGAGAAGCCGATTGCAGATTTGAAATCGGTGACGCAAAAATATTTAAGATCTGTTAAAAAATCTCATACAACGGAAGAAAAAAAAATTACTCACCGGTTTAATTTAAAATATAAGTAAATTATGATTAGTTAATTTGAGCTTATACTTATTAATTTTTTATAACCTTATATTTGAAAACAAAACAAAAAAAAAATCAAAATTTGGGATAGGGCCGAGCGCTTAATGCCTAATGATAAATCAGGTACTCTTAATAAATAAATTCTCAATTAGTTTATTGCTAAATAAATTTAGGAAGAAAAATGAAATAACTTACGTTTGCAGCCTACGACTTTAGGTAAATCACATTTTATGTTGCGTATATCAAACACTAAACCTTGTGGACATTCCTGAAGGTAGGCCATACCATTGACGCAGAAATAGAAGCTACTGCAATTGGCTTCATTTTCAAATATTCCATCCATCTTTGGACAGTATTTGCTTTTTGCATTCCTTCGAGCTAGGGAGGAAAACCAAAATAATTTGATTTAAGTATTACTAATCTACATCAGCGGTTCCCAATTTTTTCCGGCTACTATAACCTAGTCAAGTAATGAATTTATTTTTGGTGCCAAATTATTAGACACACTATGAGATTCTATGTAAAATCTTAATTGTCAGGTCATACTATGCAGCTTTATTGTTTTTACTTGACTGAAACCTGTTTGCACTTGCTTATGTTCGTGTATCAATTGATTTGATTAGCTGATATATTATTTAAATTTGATGATTAGATTATATATTATATAAATATGGAATATTTATTATATCCGGTAGAATTTAGTCCTAATTTCTAGACTCACTGTTATTTTTTAATAATTACATGTCTTGCAGGTGTGTGTACGCAATATTTTTATATTTAAACATACATGTAATGGATTTTTATTCAGGAGATTTTTTTATATACTTCCTATTTTTATTTATTGTATTGCATTACAATGTTAATCAATTGATAGATTAACGTAAACAAATACAAACCGGTTTCACCCGCTTAAAAAACAATAAAGCTGTGTTGTATCACCTAATAATTAAGATTTTACAAAGAATCTTATATTGTATCTAATAATTTGGCTCGAGACTGTACATGAGAAGGAAGAAAAAAAAGACAAATTACGATTTATTCAAAATGAAAACTTAAAAGAACTGTTATAAACGTTAAAAATGGTTTTGGAAAAAAACATATTTCTTTATTAAAGAACTTAGTTATTATATTTTAATAAAAAAATAGGAAAGCGCGATAGGGAATACTAATGTAATATTTTATAAGTACTTGTACTTTTCATAATTTGTTCAATATATTGTTATAAAAATATTATATTTTCCTTTCAAAAATGCTATGCCTACTTCATTTGTATAGTTCGTTCACCAGGAGTTGGCACTTGGCTCCACCTCCTCGGACGAAGAGTTCATTTCTGCGCGGGAGTAAGAGGAGAAATATCTCCGCGCTTCAAATTGAGACAACCCTTAATGCGCACCAACGCAAAAAGTGAATTATTTTTCAATCACTTACTTCGCTTTATCATCTGTTATTATACTTTTCGTTACTCTAGCTAATTAAATATATTTTAAAATTAAAAACTGCTGTTTTCCCAGCAGAATGTCTCAAAAAGGACAGACTACTTATTCTAAAGAGAGAAATATCAAATTTATGACATATTTAATGTTTAAAAAATGCACGTAAAGATTGCGAGATAAATATTTTGTCATACGATCGCCAAATAGCAACCTTTTTCAGGATCGTTCACATCCTTCTCCCGAAAATAGGGAAATAGTATCGTCGGATACCACGTGATGAAGGCGGAGCCAAGTGCCAACTCTTGGTGAGCGAACTATATTTCACTTGCCGATTTCATAAAGGCAACCGAAGCATTAAATGAATTATAGGATGGATCTAATAATCACTGGTGGTAAAAAAAATACCGACTGATCGAACCTCTTTAACTCTTCCACGGAACACCATTTGGGAATTGCTGCTCTACTAAATCAAAATCATTGCAATAGGTAATAAAGTAATATATACCTGATTGTGTAGGAGGGGGCTTAGGTTTTTCTTCCTTACCTGAAAATGTGTTTTTGTTATTAGCTGCAATTAAAATAAATAAATAGATAGTTTAGATAAATTTTAGTCAAATGCTATTTAATTGATACATTTTGAGAGCAATTGCAACAATGATAATGATATTCTTTCATTTTTTATCAATTTCCTCATAACTTTTAAATAAACATTACGACAAACTTATTGCGATATATACCATTAGATATTACCTGAGTTTTAATTTATAATTAATTTATTTTTACATCAATACGAAATTTAAAATGTTGGTGACAGTTATTAACTGGTAATTTAAATAAATAGATAGGGTTTAATTCTTCTGTGTCATAAAACAACCAAATAATAAAATGAACCAGAAAAGTTTTGTACAATTTTTGTGTCACATAACTTTTATTTTTATAATGTTGTCAAATTTATATCAATACATCGATTAGAAAGTTGAAATTTAAACATTTTAGGTAGNTAGTAAATCTCTATTGTGTCTATTTAATTGATACATTTTGAGAGCAATTGCAACAATGATAATGATATTCTTTCATTTTTTATCAATTTCCTCATAACTTTTAAATAAACATTACGACAAACTTATTGCGATATATACCATTAGATATTACCTGAGTTTTAATTTATAATTAATTTATTTTTACATCAATACGAAATTTAAAATGTTGGTGACAGTTATTAACTGGTAATTTAAATAAATAGATAGGGTTTAATTCTTCTGTGTCATAAAACAACCAAATAATAAAATGAACCAGAAAAGTTTTGTACAATTTTTGTGTCACATAACTTTTATTTTTATAATGTTGTCAAATTTATATCAATACATCGATTAGAAAGTTGAAATTTAAACATTTTAGGTAGAGGCTATGTAATTTATACTCAATTTCGAGAGTTATTGTATCAATGATAATAATATATTTCCATTTGCATCAATTCTGTCAAAAATTTTGAATAAACCTTAAGACTAACTTATTGCGACATTTAATGTAAAACTTTAGATATTGATTGTGTTTCGATTTAATTAACTATTTAATTTTTACATAAATCCAAAATTTAGAAGGTCTGTGGTAGTTCATGTTTGAAAAAGTAAGATAGCAGCTTTCTGGATTTTTTTATAACCCTTGGACGCAGCATTTTTGTTTATTATATTCTTCATATTTTTTTTCATTTTTTTTGCATTAATTTCAGGTTAAAATAAATGAAAAATATTATATTTAGCATATTAATAATTTATGGTTATAAAAAACATCATGAAATACTGCTTTTTTTTCTGCGTTAAAAAACAAAATCTTCGAAACACGTCTCACTTCCTTGCAACTTTTCAAATTTGCACTTATTTGCAGTATAAATTTACACTTATTTGCAGTCTATATCTAAGAGAAATTCGTCATTGAAATTTCTTTAATTTACAAATTCATTTGGTGATAATTTTTTTAATTTAAATGAAAAAAAAATTCTAACTACATTTTTTAGATTTTATATATTAGTACAAATATAAGTCCGATAATCTAACAGATTTTTTTTAATAGCTATAAGACTATTTTTAAAAATTAAAAAATACCAAATATATTGTTGCTTGTAATTAGAGCTTTCGAAAAAAAATATATAATAGGGACATCTATGCCAAAGGGTTAATGTGTTCAAGTTATTATATAAAAACTGCACATAGTTTTGTAAACCTTTTTTGTTCTTAGTATGAGTGAATAATTATGTCTATTAATTTATTCAAAGCATCGTCAATTAGAATATAATAGTTTTTGCTAATTTTTTAAACTTCTTGTACTGCCAAAAATCTCATTAATTTGACTAACACAATGTGATGTGTTTTCTATAACAAAATATAACTAACTAAATATCAATTTTTTCTCATTATTACTTTTACCCAATAAACCTACAAGGCAAATAATACTCACTTTTGCAATTAGCGTATTTTGGAAACGTGCATTCAGTTTTTTTACTATTGAAATGTAATCCTCTGGGACACTCTTGCAAATGATATTCACCACCATTGCACATGTAGAATGTGCTACAATTTGAACTGTTTTGGAATATTCCAGTCGGTTTGGGACACTGTTTGCTTGGAATATATTTACCTGGAATGGATATATACATTAAAAGTACCTATATTAATTAGTAAAATTATAATGCGAAGGATTATTATACGAATACCTCTTAAAACAAGGACTATTTTACTTAGTTTTCTGCGTAAAAACAAATAGCACACACAGACCCTAGCCAAATTATTAGACTCATTTTGAGATTCTATGTAAAAATTTTATTATCAGGTGATACTACTTACTTATCAGGTGATACCATTTATTGTTTTTACACGACTGAAACCGGTTTGCACTTGTTTACGTTCGTGTATCATTTGATTTAAATTAGATAATTTATAATATAAATTCGATGATTGTATAAATCAGACGATATATTACATAAATATAGAATATTTATTATTTCAGCTATTATATTAGTATATTATAATAATTAAACCAAATTATTAGACGCACTGTGGGTTTTTGATAATTACATGATTTGCACGAGTTTGTATACAGTACTTTTATTTTTAAACATACATGTAATGGGATTTTATTCAGGAGATTTTTATATACTTCCTGTTAGTATTTATTTTTAACGTATTGCATTACAATGTTAACCAATTGATACACGAACGCAAACCGGTTTCAGCCGTGTAAAAACAATAAAGCTGTATAGTATCATCTGATTAATTAAGATTATCCATAGAATCTTATAGTGCGTATAATAATTTGGCCACGGTCTGCACATGCATAGAATAAAAGTTAAAATAGAAATACTAGATAGAACAAATAATTGTCTTACACATGGAACACGCTTAACCACTGTTAATAGTTTTAAGATGTTTAAATGAAGGGTGTTCTTTAAGACCGCCTTTAATATGTGCTTTTAGAATCCTTAAGAAAAATGAAGGTAAGGTATACATTTTGGGGATTGAAAATTAATCTAAGCTAAGAAGAATAAAAACACTATCGAAAATCTGACAAATTGCTGTACAAAAAGATGGATTTAATAAACAACAAGACAGGTATGATTACAAAAGAGTTGAAAGAAGATTACAGTATATTCTAGTGTATAAGTCGACAATTCAAATTCCCAAAATTTTACGGAAATCAGGGGGTTGACTTATACAACGTTAATAAAGTCGGATGTAATTATATTATGTTATTATGTCATAATATATTATGTTATAATATTAATGCATCATAAACAATGAGATAGATATGAGTAACTCTGTTCAAATTTACTCCTTTTAAAAACTATTTTAAATTTGCTATGTACGATTTATTTTGCATTTTCTGTCATCATATTTTCATTACGCATAAAAAAAGATTTCTCTGTTTTTCATTTGAGGGTAAATATATGAGAGAAATAATTTTAACTTGAGAAAGTTTGCGGGCAATAATTTTTTTACGTTTTTCAATTTTAAAAATTTTTTATATTTTGTTTTTTTAAGTGGTTGACTGATACACTCGATGTACCAGAAATATATCTGAATCAAATGTAAGAGTTCATTTTATACAACGTATCGACTTATAAACACTTTCTACCTCCAATTAAACCTGTTATGACATTTATTAAACGCGCCTTCTTTAATTCTCATTTGTGAGATTTTGACAACGTTTTCTTTTCCCCTCTTGTTTGCAGATTAATTTGCAAACCCCTAAATGTATACTTTTTTGCTTTCAGTTTTGCTAAGTTTTTTATTTTTATTATAACCGTCGTTGAACAGCAAACCCAATTTTATGGGTTTACGACTACTAATGTTCAACTCGTAGCCTTGTAATTTTGAACCTAATCCAGAAGACAAGGGAACTCCTGGATCGAGTATCGGGAGAAATTTGCCTTCGTGGAGGATTTTTTGATGGAGCTAACCCGCATTTGCGTTACATGGAGAGGAAGACCACTAGAACCTCCCACAGTTAACCTGTGGCAAAGGAACTCTAAACCATGATCCGTCTACCACGGAGGATATTTCACGTCAGCACTGTGGTCGGTGCAAGCCGGATGCGGAATTCGACTGGGATTCGAACCAGGTTCGCCGGTTTGGAAGGCGAACGCTCTATCCCCTGAACCATCGCGGCTCTTTGCTAACGATTGTAAAAATATATATATAAACGGCTCTTTCTGAATTACTTTGTATAGGAAAATAAATATTTTAATATTATGGAAATCGGATTGTTTGCAATGTAATTACAAATTTTTCTGATATTACTGAATTCTTCAGAGTTCGATCTTTTGTTTTGATTTTTTTAATATCAAAACTGTAAAATCAATAAAATCTTGACTATGAAATCTTTGGTATAAGCCGATAAAATGCAGTTTCATTAATATCGAGATAATATAGCTAATTCGTGGGGGAACGGTTTATTATTTTCTAAAGGTTGAATCAAGAGGAAAAATAGGTATGGATATGTATATATGAGATAAACAAACTTTCCTTGACTACCATAACCTATATTAACATTTATAACATATATATTTGACCTTAGTAAATCTCTATTGTGTAATAATACATATCTTCGACCTTACGATTAAACGGATTTTAATAAAAAATTTCGAGAAAGTTTAAAGTTTATACAGTCAAACCCCGCTATAGTGAACTTTCAAGGGACCGAAATTTCGGCTCACTATAACCGGGAGTTCACTATTTCCGTTACGCAGGCAATTTAACTAATGATTCCCAAACTTCTCCCCTTTATTACACATTATTCAAATAAATGACTGAAAAACATTATGTGGTAGCAAAAATTCTGCTATTTTTCATCAATCTTCATCTTGCGTACAAAAAAACAAAAAACAAATTTGTAATCTTTAGCTGATGAGCAATCCTCAACATCAGATAAGGAAACACTTCCCGACTCTCAGATAATTTTTCCTGAATTTCTGTTATTCTGCTTTCTAAACCTGTCTAACCTGCCATTCGAGCACATAAAAGTAGTTTCATAAAATCTCGTAGCAAATTCATCGACATTTGTCCAGATAGTGGAAAATTGCGGCCTCTTCGATTGGTGAACCACTTCAGTAATGCTTCTTCAGCATCCTTGTGATCTGCTTTTCTCAACTTTTTTCTGCCATCTAAATTTTTTTCATGAGCAGAAATTATTAATTGCATATTTTCCCATATGTTACAAGCTGCAGATATGGTTAGTTTATATTCCCTGAAAATATCAGCTTGACTGCATCCATTTTCAATTTTTCTGATTATGCCCATTTTATCATTAATGGAGAACGTTTTACGTTTACTGCTCGCCATAGTTAAATTTGAGACACTTGTTTGCAGGATTTTTTCAACTGAACTGAGAGCAGGAAGGAGTTGAAATGAGGGTCTTATCAACACATATTAATGCCCTACCCTTTGACCAATAATGAATAATTACTCATTCCCTTTGATAGAAAATGCATAGTGATCCCACTGACACCTTAAAGGTGGATCATCTGCCTGAGTTGGAAACATCTGTTTGGTTTGTTTAGGGATGGGAAAGTGAGATAAAAGAAGCAAACAAGAAAAATGATTATCGCTACATTCCCCTCTATAGATGGTTCTGAAAATCGGTATATGTATTTATTTTGAAGTAGAAATTTCAAAATTATTACAAAAAAAAATGGAGAAAAAAATTCTGTCGAAGTCAGAAAAAAGTTTATTACATCCAACTTCCTCACTTTTTTAGTTCACTATATCCACACAAAAAATAACATTATGCGTGTATATCAAGGCACGGGACCGAACATTTCGTTCACTATATCCGGGAGTTCACTATAAGCCGTGTTCACTATTGCGGGGTTTGACTGTACTTCAATAAATGCTCAATTCGAACATCCTTTTTTAAGTGACATGTTCAACTTCCTAGCCTTGCAATTTTGAACCCAATTCAAAAGACAAGGGAACTCCTGGAGAATTGGGAGAGATTTCGCTTTCGTTGAAGACTTTTTGATGGAACTAAAACGCATTTGCGTTACACGGAGAGTAAAACCACGAAAACCTACGGCAAGTTACTTTTTACCCATGATTCGTCTACCATTGAGGATATTGTATATCAGCACTGTGGTCGGAGCGAGCTGGGTGCGGAAAAGTTATCGCAGGGATTCGAACCCGGTTCACCTCATTGGAACGCGAGCGTTCTATCCCCTGAGCCACCACGGCTCAAATCAATTTATTTTACTTTATTTTATATCCGTTGTTGAGCAGCCGACCCAATTTTGGGTTGATGACTACTAAGCCTTGTAATTTTAAGCCCAATACAAAAGACAAAGGAACAAGTATTGTGAGAAATTTGTCTTCGTGGAGGACTTTTTGATGGAACTTACCCGTAAATGCGTTGCATGGAGAGGAAAATCGCTGAAACCTCCCACGGTTAGCCTGACGGCAAGGGGACTACTTCTAGCCAATGATCCGTCTACCATTGAGGATATTTTGTGTCAGCACTGTGGTCCGTGCGAGCCGGATGCGGAAATCGTAACGGCCAGTCATCGCTTTGATTCAAACTCGGTTCACCTCATTGGAATGTGAATTATTTATCTCCTGAGCCACTGCGGCTTAAGTTAATTGATTGAAAATGTACAATATACATCCAGTTTAAAACTTGCCACCTTGGTTAGTTTTTAATTAGTAAAATTCTTAGAAATCGCTCAAACATGCTATGGTTTCGGAGTTTTTTTCCTTTTTTTTTTGATGGAGATCTGCGGTGTTTTTTTTTTTTTCCTTTCTTTTTTTTCTTTTTGTGTTGATGGGGTGATGATCTGCGGTTTTTTTTTTCTTTTGGTGGTGATGAAGTGGTGATCTTCGAGACTAAATACTTTCGACATGGTGGTCCTTGAAAATCAAAAGATTGGCTACAATGGCGACAATAAAAGGTTCCCAATTCTTTTCAGCTACAGAACTCTAAGCAATCGAACTTCTTTTGGCTTATTAAAGAGAGTTCATTAGCAAGTGTGTATATGCTAATAGAAAAAAAAAATACACTACAAATTAATTTAGGTACATTTAATGTGAAATACGAAATTATTTTTATTGTTTCATCAATAATTGTCTTAAAATTAGATTTTATGTTAGGTAGTTGAATTCCCTAGTCTACAGCAGCTTCTAGCTTAGTAGTTTTTGACATACGCATAAATCAATTTTGAATACAATTAGCTGAATCACGGTTACGGAGAACACTTATAAACTGTGATAATTTTTATCAAAAAAATTAATTCTTCATTCTTGAAATTGAGAATTTTATTTTGAATTTTAAAGTTCGTTGGGAAACACTGATGCAATCATCTGTAAATGCATGTCATTTTAGTAATCCTTTCAATATGTTGTTTTTGCAAGAAAATATTTTTTTATAATTGGCCATTTCTTTTTATTGACATTTTACTAATATAATATCATGAAACTAACAGTTGGGCTGAAAAGTTCGTTGACTGACACATAGATGGGGCTATTATTATTAAATATCTATGATTTTTAGTTAGTTCTAACCTTTGAAAGACACGTGTATAAATTTGACAACTGTCGTCGGACTATTAGTTTGTGAGATATAGTATTTTTAGTAAAGCAACTTTTGTTAGTTTAAAAACAATGGATAAAAAGGAATTTCGTGTGTTTTTAAAGCATTGCTTTTTAGCGAAAAAAATACTCTTGAAGCCAAGGCTTGGCTTGGGAAACATTATTCGGACTCTGTACAAGGAAAATCAACCATTGAGCAGTGGTTTGCTAAATTTAAACGAAACGAAATGAGCACCGACGACGATGCACACAGTAGTCGCCCCAAAGAGGCTGTTACAGACGAAAACATCAAAAAAGTCCACAAAATAATTTTAGATTACCGTAAAGTGAAGTTGATCAAAATATCTGAGACTCTAAAGATTTCAAAGGAACGTGCTGAACATATCGTGAATGAATATTTGGGTATGCGAAAGCTCTAGGCAAAGTGGGTGCCGCACAAGCTCCCAATTGGACAAAAACAACAACGAATTGATGATTCTGAGCTGTGTTTGAAGCTGTTTAATCGTAATAAACCCGAATTTATGCGTCAATATGGGACAATGGGTGAAACATAGCTCCATAATTTCACACAGGAGTCCAATCGACCGTCAGCCGAGACGCACCAACGAACCAACTGCACGAGACGAACCAACTCCAAAGCGTGGAAAGGCGCAACAGTCAGCTGGCAAAGTTATGGCGTCAGTATTTTGGGATGCTGATGGTATAATATTCATTGACTTTGTTGAAAAGGGAAAAACCATCAACAGCGACTATTACATAGCGTTGTTGGAGCGTTTGAACTACGAAATCGCAGAAAAACGACCCCATTTGAAGAAGAAGAAAGTGCTGTTTCATCAAGACAATGCACCGTGTCACAAGTCAATGAAAACGATGGAAAAATTATATGAATTGGTCTTCGATTTACTTCCGCATCCACCGTATTCTCCAGATCTGGTCCCCAGCGACTTTTTCCTGTTCTCAAACCTCAAGAGAATGCTTGCTGGAAAGAAATTTGGAGCTGATGAAGAAGTAATCACCGAAACAAAGGCCTATTTTGAGGTTAGAGACAAATCGTACTATTAAAATGGTATCGACAAATTATATGACCGCTATAATCGTTGTATCGCCCTTGAAGGAAACTATATTGAATAATAAAATGGATTTTTTTCTATGTTAGCCTACGAACTTTTCAGCCCAACTGTTAACTTGAATATTAGATAAAAATTCGATTATTGGTTGGGCACAAATCTATTAGAAGTTACAAAACTATTTACAAGTTAAAAAAAGAGTTCCAACTCACGGAGCCCTTGTGTCCTTTCCACGGAAACTTAGGGTTACGCGGAACCCCTTTCGGGAACCGCTGAAGTAACATTTCTGATGACAAACCTGGAATTTTCTTTTTCTGCCAACACCAATTTGATCTTTCATTCGAAATTTTTCTCATAAATTTGGTTAAATTGAAGGCTAATCCAGAGAAAATCAAAAACCATCTCTACTTTCTATACTTATTAATTTCCCTAATTAAATAATTAACCAAATATTTTGTAAATAAAGTAAAACTATTTTAATTTGACGGAAAGGTTCTGACATTATTTTTTAGTTTGAGTACAATTAAAGTGTTCATAAAGGATTTAAGAGATTCCAAAAGTGACATTTTACTTCAAATTAATCCTTAATATTGTTTCGAGAGAGGTAGGTGCAAGCATCTGCAATTTCCATTGGATAACATAATACTTAGAATCATCTTATTGGCTATACAGGAGTTCTCTGTTACTTTCTTAATCAGTCTGAAATGTGGCTAATCATCATATCATCCCAAGTGCTTATGAATTTTTTATTTATTATAATATTATACGAAAATTTTAATTAAAAATAAGTAATTCTTAGAAGAGATATTAAATATCTAAGTTAAATACAGCTCAGAGTTAGAGTATTTATTGTTATTTTTTAATTAAGGCATATTTTTGGGAATTCGAACTTAGGATATTTTGTATTTTTAACCTTTCCCCTTTATGTTCAAATTACTACAGTTCTTCCGAATAACTTCTTTGTTTTGTCTTTTGAGTTTTTCTGCAATATAATACCGCCAAAACTAAATATAGCATACAATAATTCTTAAGAATATAAACTACAATTATAATCTAGATCAGTTTAAATTTTAGAAGGCGGTTAAAGATTTTAAACGTCAATTATTCTAATCATTTTACCTCTAGTTATTTTTTAATGATTGAAGGTTATTGAATGTGATTGAAGAACGGAATGTTCTTCAATGCTTAAAAATTAATAAAAAACAAAACATTTAGAAAATTTTCTTTATTTCATAAAAATCATCCAATTAATATAAAACAATTCTGCACTGTTGCATAATTATATTGAAATACAATTCTCATTCTCAAAAATATTCGTCACAATTATGAAATAAGTTTCACTTTAATAAACAACAACATTATGCAATGTTGGTAAAGTGTTTTCACACAGAAATAAATAAACAGAAGGGCATCTATATGTACACATGGAATAATAAACAAAATTGTTAAAAAACATATTCAATTTTTTAAAATTTTTAAATTTAAGCAAATTTTAATATATTCTTAGAAGTACTGAGAAACTTTGAATTCTAGTTTAAAACCATTTGTAATAAATTAAAAAAAATTACATTTAAATTTAATGAGAATATGAAAAATTTAGATTTAAAAAAACATTTTGTACTAAAAATGTATATTTAAATGTAAATCAGTACATGCATTAATGTTCAGAAATTAGTATTTAAGTGAGAGAAATAAAACATTATCAGAAACTGACGAACCATTATATGGATCGGTCAGAGCAAAATTCAGTTTATTTGTTGTTTGGAACTAAAATGTTCGGAAATGCTTCTAAGCTTTATCCTTAAATAAACTGAAATAACCATTCAGATATCTGTAACATTTTTTTTCTCAAGTAAATATTAATTTACAACCCCTATCGAAAATATTTTTTACTTTATTTTTTTTTTACAGTGGTTTTAAAATGTACATTAGAATGATAATTATGGAACATACAGTGAAAACACATAATGGGACATGTAGTAGAACTCTTTCACAGAATTCTCAAAGTGTATTTTAAAACAGTAGGCAACAAGATTTACCACCTTCTAAAAATTTAAAATGACCTAAACCCATTTCTTACAACATGAAATGTAAGTTGTTTTGAAAAACTAAGACGAAAATTACATGCAGTGTAAAGTAATAAGTTAAGGATTCTTAACGTAAAATTCTCTGCATCTGAAATTTGACTGCGAAAATGCCAACTACAAAATAAATGTTTCACGTAATTTATTTTTTTAGCATTTACAAGCATATTTTACGAACAAGAAATGAAAATCTTCAGTAATATGGTGCGTTAGAATGACCTGACACAGAAAATTGCTTAAATATATTACTCGCTTGGCGTCATTTTGACGGCAATACCCTATAATGGAAATTTTTTTTACTTCTAAGAGAATAGGTCAAATAAAGTGAATTAATAGAAATAATCAGTCTCCAAAAAAGGAAATATCGTAATAAATAAAAATCAATAAATTAAAACAATACAGTTTTGGGACTCATACTGTTAACTAGAATGTTATAAACATAGAAAACTGATATTAAATATGTACTATAAATTATAAAATGATACTTGCTAGCAAAACGCATTCTTTCTGACACCTTGCATAAAAAATACATAATTTTCTGCAATCACCACTGTTTATATTGTTTCAAAATCCGGTTTTTAAAACAAAATATATATTAAGGGGTCGCAAATAAAAACTGAAGAGGAAAAAAACTTATTCAAAATATGACGAATCACTTGTGAGGAAGGCAAAAAGCAAAACTAGTTTGATTGCTAAATGAAATTCGTTGGTATGACCTCTTTTCAATTTCGTTTTTTTTCCCTGTTCCGCCTCCTCAATAGTGAACGGTCAGATTTCAGATCAGTTTCTTTCCTCATCTTAAATATCATTTAGTGACACCCAAAGTGCATATAATTTTACTAAATTTTCGGCAGCAGTTCTAAATAAATATTTTAAGAGCGGTCATTACTAAATACCTTATGTATCAAAATAATTAGCATTTACCAACACTGTCCCCCGAGATGTTCGTTACATGCTTTATATCCCTTTGATACAGAATCTTTATTAAAAAAAAATTTTTTCATAATTACTTTTTCATTATTTTGTATTAATTTATGATTATGAAATACAACATGAAACACCGGTGTTGTTTTCTGCATTAATTATAAAATCTTCCAAACAATAATTTTTTTAAATTTGTACTTAATTGCAGTTATTTAGATCTAAGAGAAACAGTTATATGTCATTGAAATTTCTTTAACTTACGAAATACATTATTGATAAATTTTAAAATAGAAATTTTAAAAAATTCTGAACAATTTTTTATTTAATATTTTAATATAAATATAATTCCGATAATCTAACAGATTCTTTTTAGTAATTGTTAGACTGTTTTTTATAATTAAAAAATGCCAAAATATATATTTTCATGGAATTAGAGCGTCAGGAAAAAAATATATAAAAGAGACACCGGTGTCCATTCTGCGAGTATTAAAAATATAAAAGAAACCTTTTACTTATGAAATACGAGCCTACTGCCACAATCTACGTCTTTTTCATAAGCACATGAATGCTTAAAATCGTCGAATAACAAACCCGGGGGACAGGATTTCAGTTTTACCTCTCCGTCATAACATTGGTAAAATGATTTGCAATTTTCAGCATGTGCAAATAAACCTCTTGCCTTGGGGCAAACAGACTTGACACTTGCCGCAGCTAATGCCTTCATCTCGTCGTCGTCATTATCAGTTCCGCGTGATTTAGAGCTTTCTATGTACTTTATAATAACAGTAGGTTTCTTATGATCATCATCTTTATAATTACCTGATTTGTCTTTCTTTTTTCTTTTGGCTGAAAAAGATTTTAAAAAAAAACAAGCTATTATTTTTCACAAATATAAAAAGTAATATTAAACATAATTATGTATTTTTAAAAGGGAGAACAAAATGAATGAACAAGTACAAAATGTAATATGCAGGATGTTTCTTAATCATCACCCTTAATGTTTATTTTTAGAATCCTTGTCAGAAGCGAAGTGTTTAAAAATAGGCACGTCCACGGTCGCAAATTGATGTTTATGCAAGCAAGAACACAAAGAGGTTCTCAAAATCAAACTAATCGCTATAGAAGACGATAGAATTAAAAACATCAAAACCTAAAAAAAGTTGTTTCTGGAAATCAACTTTCTTATCGGAATCATACAGCAATCAAAGAGGTTTTGATTTTTTTTAATTCTCGGCTTCTCCATTAAGGATGCGTCATGTGTTAATAACTGTTTTTGCTTTTTCCCCTGGCTTAGCTATTAAGTTCCTATTAACAATATATTACTTTATTTTGTTGTTATTTCTTTTTTCATTTAAATTCTCAGCAAGAATTTTAATAATATGAATTAAGGACAGTGGCTACAGGACACCCTAACCTGTATGTGAAGAACAGTGTGCAGAGGCTGGAATTGTGGAGGGGGGGAGAGACGGCAGGATACAAATCCATAATCCGGGAAGAATCATGTTTCTCCACTTGATCTTTTAATAAGAACAACATCTACAAGTTAAGTAAATTGATAGCCCAATATTTTAAACCAATTGATGCAATGTGTCAAAATTAGATTTGACTTTATTTTACTTTTATTTTAACCGTAGTTAAGCAGTCGACCAAATTTTGGGTATACGACTACAAATGTTCAACTCCGTAGCTTTGTAATTTTGAACCCAATCCAGAAGACAAATGAACTCCTGGATCAAGTATAGGGAGAAATTTGCCTTCGTGGAGGACTTTTTTTATGGAACTAACCGGCATTTGCGTTACATGGAGAGGAAGACCACGAGAACCTCCCGCGGTTAGACTGACAGCAAGGGGAGTCTAACCCAGGAACCGTCTACCACTGAGGATGTTTTATGTCAGCACTATGGTCGGTGCGAGCCGGATGCTGAATTCATATCGATCAGCCACAGCTGGGGTTTGAACCCGGTTCACCTGTTTGGAAGGTAAATGCTTTATCACCTCTGAACCACCGCGATTTTATTTAATTAGTTGACCTAGTTAAAGAAACATTGTATTTTTATTGCTATTAAATCTGCTGCCTGAAAAATTCCGAAACTGAGTTTCTTAGAAATCTATTTAATTAAAAGAAATAGAAAAGTTCATAAGCCAGTGGTATAAGTAGGATGATTCAGAGGATGGACGGAAGAGATTTAAATTTAAAAGTCAGCAGTGTCTGGTTGACATGTATAATATCGACATAATCTGGTTAATACCTATATGGAATGCGTGCAAAATGTCCTCAATGGTAGACGGATCGTAGTTTAAAAATTCAATTTACATCATAGTATATTTATAGGCATTGTTATTTTTTAGATGTTATGTAACTCCTTTAGTATTTGTTAACAAGGGTGCCGGCAGAATAATGTAAAAGGGGGTGCAAACCTGTAACAAACTAACCCCCCCCCCCAAAAATAATTTACAAATATTCTGTTATTACATTTTGTTTTGTTATTACTTATACTTTAATCCGTTAATTTTTTTCAATATACATTTTTTCATTGTTAACAAGATATTAAAAAAAAAAGTACGAATTTCTGGTACTTGCAAATTTTGCCACGAGAAACTATTGATGGCGCTGGCATAGCTACTGACTTTGAAACACAAATAACTACAAACCGTAGTTTCGTATACTAACGTGCTTGTGCACGCTTAAGATTGGTATTTGTTGTGTTGATATTTATTGAGTTTTAGAAGATATATATATATANATATGAGAGAAATTTTTAAAATCACATGCCAGCAATGAAAACAGATACATACTCTCACAAAAAGTGTAAACTATTATTTATTCAATATCTTTTATTGATACGATAATATACAAAGAAAACTTTGATTAAAAATTTTATCCAAACTTTGTGACTTTAAGAAAATTGCAGAAACTTTTAAGAAAGCTTGAAATATTTTCAATGAACATGAAGGTTTTAGAAAATTGCGGGAACGGTTTTATTTACTTACAGCATTTTTTAGCGAAAATGAGCTGTTGTTTTAGAGTGATTTTTATAGTTTTTTCTCAATCAATGTAGCGATTTTTAATGAAAAAAGATTGCAACGGTATGAAAATAAATTGATAATTGTTTTAATCACTTATTGGCATTTATGGCTAGACGCTTTTTTAAGAAAAGTATGTAATGTTTAATTTAACTACTTAGTACAACATAACATTATAAATTCAATGTTTTTTCCTCGATTAAATATTAATTTACGATTCCTAAAGTGTACACTGTTTTGGCTTCATTTTTGACAAGGAATTTTTCTCTCTATATATATATATATATATATATATATATAAAGATCTGCTCTTACCGAATTTCATCACTGAAGCTACAACGTGGTACGCAATGTGATGGAATAGAGAAAATTCTTATGATTCCTTCGAATACATCGATTTAGTAATTGAGGGCACACCGCTTTATCCAGCTGTAGCGGAGGCAATCAAAATTGGCCTAACTCATCCATCTACTCTGTGCACTATTGAACGCACTTTTAGTACAATGCGACGCATCAAAACATGGAATCGGTCTACATTGTCTCACAAGAAATTAAGTAATTTGTGCATGCTCAATGTGCATAAGAAAAGAATCAAAGATGACTCAGAATTCATTGAAAAAGTTATAAACAGATTTGGACAGCAAACAAGACGATTACTATTCTTGTTTGATTAAAAAAAAATTTCATTGTTGTGTATCAATAATTACTTTATTATTTGTTTTTGAATAAAAATATTCTTAAAAGAAATTTTATAACAAAATTGTTTTTCTGCATCCGTTTAATTGTTTAAAAAAAAAGCCAGAGGGGTGCAAGTGCATCTCCTTGCACCCCCCTTCCGGCGCCCTTGTTTGTTAAGACCTACTATATTTATGGCTTTAGTTCGGCACGAATTTAGTTTAATTATATTCATACGGTCTTTACCTTTATGTTTATTTTATGTTAAGAAGATTAGTGTGAGAAAATGTCACCTATCAATGTTAATTTTTATTTTCTAACACGGAACTTAGCTTAAAAAACCATGTTTGTTACTTATTAACAAACTGGAAATTTTATTACAATCTTGCAATGTAACAACTGAGTTATAAGACACTATAAAAAATATTTATATATATACAATAGCAAATTTTTTTATACAAAACAAACATAAATCTTAGATGCTAATTACTAAAAACATAATCCTTGAGCATATAATAATGGAAATATTATACTTGTTCAGAAATATTTAAAATTAAGGCGTTAGAATTAAAACACATAAATATTTTAAATAATGACATTAAAAAATATATTATGAAATTGGAAGAATTTTTAAGCATTAATAACTTTTATTTTTGAAGTTCAGGATTTTGTTTTTAAATGATTATACAGATATTTTGAAAACATGTACATGATCCCGATAAATGATTTTCATAACTTCTCATATGTTATTATAAATACATGACATTGCTTGAATAAGTTTGAAATTAGTATAATATTACACCGAAGAGCCATTACATTATGACCACCCTCCATCTATAACAATGGGCTCGCCCAGGTTTTCATGGTTTCTCGCCCAAGAACAATGTTTTCAAGGGGCACATTCGGACCCATAATCCTCATGGAACAATCCCTGACGTCTGTAAGCTACTTGAACATAGTTGCAGACCAGGTTCACCCATTCATGGCAACAGTTTTTCCTGCTGGTGGTGGTGTTTACCAACAGGATAATGCACCATGTCATAAGGGTCGAATCATCATGGATTGGTTCAAGGAACATTCCAGTGACTTTCCAGTCATATCTTGTCCCCCAAATTCACCTGACCTTAATCCAATAGAGCATTTGTGGTCCTACTTGGAATACCAAATTCGTGCTGCCACGCTACCCTCTCGTAATGTGAGGGAATTGCAGGACCAGTTGGTGAGCGCTTGGTACCAGATACCTCAGACTACCTATCAGCACCTTGTGGAATCAATGCCACGGCGGGTGCTAGCAGTTTTGAGGGCTAAAGTTGGTCCTACAAGTTATTAGCAGGGTGGTCATAATGTAATGGCTCTTCGGTGTATTTTTATATTTTATATACGTCGTTGAACAACCGACCCAATTTTTGGGTTTACGACTACTAATGTTCAACTCCGTAGCCTTGTAATTTTGAACCGATCCAGAAGACAAGGGGACACCTCAATCAATACCCCCAGAGGTATTGATTTTTTATGGGAACATGAAGGACTTTACGACTCGACAGATTTAAAGTGCATCATTCACCATTTACTACACGGGGAGTCTTCGGCCGGCGGGGATCTAAGCCACGAACTCTTGGACATGGTCCCAGTGCCCTACCAACCAGGCTATCCCGGCACAGTATAATATTATTATAACTATTAGGCCCGTTTTTTTTAAACAAATATATTATAAAATATGAAAGATTAGTTAGTAAAAGACTTACGCAGATTGCAAAGAACTTGGCCCTTATAGTTGCACACTTGCAAATTAGGATCGAAGTAAAGACCTTTTTTACATCTTACAACTTTTGGCTTATTGTTGTTGCAGAGAACATATTCATCACAACGATGAGGACTAGGAAACATACCATTTGGACCTTGACACATGTCTGTAAGGGAAAGTGACAGATACTTAATATTGTAAAAAATAAATTGCATCGATTTTAATATCAAGACAATTGGAAGAATATATTATATCCTTTTTAAATATCAAGACAATTTGTACTTAATTAAGAAATATAAAATTTATTAAAATAAATTGTGAAATTGGATATTGAAGTCTGCGCTATTAACATTAAAAATGTGCACACCAGGAGCGCATGCGCAATTACTTCAAAAATTTAAGTATGAGAGCGTACGGGATTAATACATTAATTTGAGGAATATCTCTTATCTTATAGTTAACATAAAAAGATTGCCAACGTCGTGATTTTCAGAAAAAAGCGTTACTTTCTAAGAATAAAAACATCCATGTTTGTTCTATAAACATTTGTATATAATGTGCTCTTTTGTCTTGAACTGTATTTAAATAAAGCAATAAAATAAATTCTGCGAAATTAAACTTGTCTGCGATCTCAAGACAATTGTTGTAGTTCATTTAAGTCTCACTAGAGCTTCACAGTGAGCTATTGGCGACGGTCTGGGAAACAACCTTGAGGATGATCCGAAGACATGCCATCACAATTTTGATCTTCTGCAGAGGGGATGGCACCCCCGCTTCGGTAGCTCGACGACCTACACGCGAAGTCGATCATTTTACGGTAGAACATTTTAACGAGGACCAATTCCACACACCCTTGGTCCCTACGCAGACTGATCCAAGTGGTCACCCACCCGAACACTGACCGCAGCCAGTGATGTTGACTTCGGTGATCTGCTGGGAATTGCGTCTTAACGATCAGTCCACAGTGGGACAACAATGAAAAAAAAACTCAACTGAGGATATATGTAGAAGAAGCTTACTTCTTTATCGCTTTCAACTGGCTTAATCAATTTTTTTAAAAATCAGAATTAAGTATACGCTGATTAACCAAGAACAGGAAACTTCAATTCATGAAAAGTTTTAATCATTATTTAAAAAAAAAAATATTAACTTACTAGAACATTTTGCTTGATTTGGAAAATTGCACATTTTCTTTTCCTTGTCGAACAACAGACCAGGGGCACAGCTTTGGAGTATAGCTTGACCATCAATACAGTTGTAAAATGTTGAACAATCATTATCATTCGGAAACATTCCATTATCTTTCGGACAATAATCAGGAACGCCGTCATCATCATCATCGTGGTGGCGGTGATTATCATGGTCATCATCATATCTAGGTTCAATTTTCTTAGTTTTCTCGTCTTTATCTAGGTTTATTACGAAATGAATTATCTAATTGTAGAAAAAACAGTTAACTGCTACAGAAATTGAGAATGTAAAAATGGTCATTTATCATTATCAACTCGTGATACCGTAAAGGACTCACTCTACAACATCTCTTGCTACTCTCAATAAATTATTTTAGTGTTCGTAATTTATGTGTAATTAAAATCTTGATTAAATTTACCGTGTTTGAACTTGAGAAATTTAATTACTAGCTCGTGATACCGTAAAGAACTCACTCTATAACATATTTTGCTACTCTCAATAAATTATTATATTGTTAATAAGTAATTTGCGTGTTGTTAAAGTCTTGATATCTCTATCTACTCTCAATAAATTATTTTAGCGTCATTAAGTAATCTGTGTGTTATTAAAGTCTTGATATCTCTATCTACTCTCAATAAATTATTTTAGTGTCAATAAGTAATTTGTGTGTTATTAAAGTCTTGATATCTCTAGCTACTCTCAATAAAAGATTTTAGGGTTAATTAGTAATTTGCGTGTTATTAAAGTCTTGAATAAAGTCCTGATATCTCTAACTACATTCAATAAATTATTTTAGTGTTAATAAGCAATTTGCGTGTTGTTAAAGTCTTGATATCTCTATCTACTCTCAATAAATAATTTTTGTGTTAGTAAAGTAATTTGTGTGTTTTTAAAGTCTTGATATCTCTAGCTACTCTCAATAAAATATTTTAGGGTTAATAAGTAATTTGCGTGTTATTAAAGTCTTGAATAAAGTCCTGATATCTCTAGCTACTCTCAATAAATTACTTTAGTGTTAGTAAGTAATTTGTGTGTTATTAAAGTCTTGATATCTCTATCTACTCTCAATAAATTATTTTAGTGTCAATAAGTAATTTGTGTGTTATTCAAGTCTTGATATCTCTAGCTACTCTCAATAAATTACTTTAGGGTTAATAAGTAATTTGTGTGTTAGTAAAGTCTTGATTATATTTACCAAAATGTTATGATTTTTGAATATTATAATTTTTGCTTGAACACTAAGTTAAAAATACTTCAATTAAAACTTTACTTAACTTTTATTAAAATTAAAAGCTTACCGTCATCTGCTGCTGCGAGAAAAACACCTAAAATAATAAAAATATATTTAAAAATCATGTTTATAATCGAGGTTATGTATCGTTTGTAAAAAACATTTGTTTATCTTTGAAAAAAATCATAATCAGATGATTATTATAGGGTTCAATCAAAGTAAAGGAGGAGTTAAAATAAACTTAATGCCCAATTTATTTATTTATCGAAACGGGAATGCGCTTTGTTTGTTTGTTTAAGAACTTCCTTGCAACTTTTTCTTTGATAAACTTGGTTTTGGTGATTTTAACTCTTTTTTCTTGCTTTGATCAATAATGATTCGTTCAATTTTGATAACGTCTTTGTTTTTATCAAATTTAAATTTTAATTTACCGTCTCTTATATGCATAATTTTTAGACGTCGTTTTTTTTCGAAGACTTTAAAAATAGTTCTTTCATAACATGAAATTCAAGCAGCGAGTGTTCATGTATATGAAAAAAAAATGTATGAATCATGTATACAAAAAGAAATGTAAAGAAAATGTTAGGGAACAAATGTTAGGGTTAAAGAAAATGTTAGGCTTATTATCAAATTTTAATTCTAATCAACAAAGATAGTTTATGCCACAAATAAAAATAAAAGAATTTTCATTCAAATACTAGGACATAAGAAAATACAATAAGTTTTTTAAAATTTTTTATATTTTTTTTATTATTATTATTATTTTTTAATCAAAACACCGGACACGAGAAAATGGCAATGATTTTTACCCCTCCTAACATACATAGCGTCAAGGTGCGGTAATAAACTTAACTACTAGTTTATCGAAGAATTAGTCTTTTTTTTTAATTGAATTTATGGAATCACACTTTAATTATTTGGCTTTATTTTAATTCCATAAACTGCTTGGATATTTTTTCTTCAAAGATATCAAATGTTAATAAAAACGTATTTTTCTCTTCACTTAAAGTAAATTACAATTTTATTGAAATACTAGGAGGCTTCGCCCCCTGCTCGCTGGCACTCGCCAACCCCCGGAACTGCTTTCGCAGTTCATTTCGGATTGCTTCGCAATGCAATGCTCGCTTTGCTCGCTCATTGGATACATTTTTAACGTCTAGCTTCTGTATACTTTTTTGAATACTGAAGTTATGAAAACTTTTCACTGTAGAAAATTCTAAACCTGTACATTTCAATATTAATTTCAAATTGCAAACAGTTCACATATTTTGTTTAATCACACTATTCTAAATTTCAGTTGTTGAGAAAAGTAACTGTTGTAAGTTTTGTTTTAAAGTCTTTCCCACCAGATGGCTAAAGCCATGTGTTGTAAAACTGTATCAAATAGTTGTCTGCCACTGAACGCCGGATGTAAAGCATCGACTTCGATGAAGATAATTTTGTATTTTTAATTCTCTGAAGGGAGCCACCCAAATAATATGGAATTTGTAAAATAAATGTATATATTTTTGATTGTTGATGAAGCCCATCTTCTTGTGTTTTCATCAGTGTTCAGAAGCAGAACAATTATAAGTTTTTTATTTTATCACAAAAATATAAAATGTATAAAAAACAAAGAAAACAGTAAGAAAATGAGTACAGTCATAGAAAAAGTTAAAATTATTATATAGTATTTGTCAGTTAAAATAAAACTTTTTGTTTAAGTCATTGCTAACAATTACTATATTATAATT